CGCTTCACTGGCCCATGTTGGTATTATCATTGCACTCTTCCCGGGTGAGGCAGCCTCTGGACTGCCGCTCACGGCGGCTCTTGGCAGCTCACACCAGCTGCCGGCCGCTCACACTGGCTGCTGGCCACTCATGGTAGCTTATGGCAGCCCACTGCAGCAGGGGCTGCAGCCTACGCTGTCGCTGGTGACTCACGGCAGCCCAGCTCTAGGTCAAGCTGTTGTTCACCATCTTAGCTGTAGAGGACAGTGTGACTGGCCCTCATGTGGGATCCAAACTGGGGCCCTGCTGCTCAGAGCTGGCGTCCAAGCCAGCTCTTAACCAACGCGCCACTTGGCCGGCCCCTGTTTTTCCTTTATTAAAATGTGTATTCATTTTTTGGCACCCTCTGTATATGACATATATATATATATATATGTATATATGTGTGTGTGTGTGTGTGTGTGTATTTCCCCCCAAACCCTTAGAAAATATATAACACCAAGAGTGAACCCTTATGTAAACTATGGACTTTGAGTGATAATGATGTATCAATACAATTTCATCAGTTGTAGCAAATGTACAACTCTGGATATTGATAGTGGGGGAGGTTGTGAGGGGAATGCGTGTATGGGAACTCTGTACTTTCTGCTCAATTTTGCTGTGCATCTAAAACTACTCAAAAATCATAAATAAAGTCTATTAAGAAAAACCTATAGTGAGATACTATTACAATTTATCAGATTGTCAAATATTTAGAAACCTAAAAGCATCAGTATTTTTTGAAGATGTATAACAATCCTAGCACTTATGTGTGCTTTGGGTGAATGTATGTTGATACAGTTATTTTGGAAAACAATTTGAAATTATCTAATAATATTGAACATGCACATACCCCATAAGTCAGCAATTCACTGTTAGGTGTATTCCCTATAGAAATTTTCTTAAAAACAAAAACAAAAAACTGAAAACAATCCAAATGTCTATAAAATAAAATTTGACATATTCATACAATGAAATGCCATTTGGGTATATGTCAACTTGGATGAGTCTCTGAAATGTAATATTGTACAAAAAGGGGATAGTGAGCCCCAAAACATATAAAATTTAATAATTTATTGTTCAAGGATCTATAACATTTGCAGTAAAACCATAAAGAAAAGCAAGGAAATGATTAATTTCAGAATAGTGGGTCCTTCAGTGAAGGATGGGAGTGTGGGATATAAGAGATAAAGACTCAGGATATCTCAAAGATACTGGTAATATTCTATTTCTTAATTTGGGTGTTGGGTATAAAAATTCCATTTATTATTCTTTAAACTGTGTGTGTGTTCTTTTGTATTTATGTTGTATTTCAGAATAAAACTTTTTAGAAACCAAGCTCTAGATCTATATTATATTAAACCATATTTTTGTTATAATTTTCATGCTTCTGTTCTATTTCTTTAAAAATCACACTCCCTAACTTCAACTTGTACTACAAAGTGGTAATAATCAAAACAGCATGGTATTGGCAGAAAAACAGACACACAGACCAATGGAATAGAATTGAAAACCCAAAAGTAAACCCACATATATGTGGGCAGATAATTTTCAACAAAGGAGTCAAAAACATACCATGGAGAGAAGAAAGCCTCTTCAATAAATGTTGGGAAAATTGGAAAGCCACGTGCAAAAGAATGAAACAAAACTGCTATCTATCACCATATTCCAAAATTAACTCAAAATGGATCAAAGACCTAAACATAAGACCTGAAACAATAAACTAAATAGAAGAAAGCATAGGTACTAAACTTATGGACCTTGGGTTCATAGAGGCAAGGGAAGTAAAAGGTAAAATAAATGAATGGGACTATATCAAACTAAAAAGCTTCTGCACAGCAAAAGAAACTATCAACAAAACAAAAAGACAACAAACTGAAGAGAATAGATTTGCAAACAATGCCTCTGATAAGGGGCTAATATCCAAAATATATAAAGAACTCATACAACTCAACAACTGAAAAACAAACAATCCAATTAAAAAATGAGTAGAGGACCTAAAACAGACACTTCTTCCAAGAAGACATACAAACGGCCAACAGATACGTGAACAAAATGCTCAACTTCACTAGCTATTAGGGAAATGCAAATCAAAACCACAACGAGATACCACCTCACACCTGTTATTATAGAATGGCTATCATCATCAAGACAAATAACAAGTGTTGGAGAGGTTGTGGGGAAAAAGGAACCCTCATACACTGCTGGTGGGCAAGTGAATTAGTACAGCCACTATGGATAACAGTGAGGAGGTTCCTCAAAAAACTAAGAATAGAATTACCATATCACCCAGCAATCCCTCTCCTGGTTATCTAACCAAAAAATCTGAAAGCATTTATCGGTAAAGATAAATTTTTACTCTGATGTTCACTGCAGCTTTATTTACAGTGGTCAAGACAGGGAAACAACCGAAGTGTCTTTTTTTTTTTGTGAACCCCAAAGTGTCTTTTTATAGGTGACTGGATAAAGATGTGGTATACTTCAATGAAATACTTCTCGGCCATAAGAAAAAATGAAAAACTGTCATTTGTGACAACATGGATAGATCTTGAGATTATTATGCTAAGCAAAATAAGTCAGACAGAAAAAGTCAAGAGCTATATATGGGATATAAAACTGAAAGTAACAACGGAACAAGACAAAAACTCAAAGATACAGACAACAGTTCAGTGGTTACCAGAGGGTAGGAGGGAGAAGGGTGGGAAAAGAGGGTCAGATATATACGGTGACAGGAGAGCTGACTCTGGGTGGTGTACACACAATGTAATATATAGATGATGTATTACAGAATTGTACACCTGAAAGCTATGTAGTTTTACTAACAAATGTCACACCAATAAGTTTAATTTAAAAACAGGATCATTTTCATTTTCATTCTCTTACTTGTCTGTTGTAGTAGGAGAGATAGAGGCCAATACCCAGCCAGAAGCTGAGATGAGAAAAAGAGGGACAATATAAAGGAGTCCTTTATGCTGAAACTGGTTGTGGCTGATGTCAACATTATCTTAGTCTTTTATGCTATGTTTTCATACTATGTTTTATACTATCTTTTCTTCTGAATAAAGTTCCTTTCACTGACTATCAAGAGTCCTGAATAATGATGTGTTTACTTGTACATTATTTCTCTCTTCCACTAGACTCTAACTTGTGAGCGCAGGGACTCTTGTCTCTCTCACTCACTACCAAATTTCCAGTTGCCTCAAACAGTGCCTGGCACATAACACTGATTACATGTTTGTTAAATGAATAACAAACAACCTAATTAAAATTTAGTACTCCTATATATGTATTTATTCCATCATAGCACTCATGACATTTTTGTAATTATCTTTTTGTATGTATTGATATGAAGACACCATTATATTGATAGTACCTAGCAAAAATCCATGTGATAGGCACTCAGTAAATTCAATTAATATTAAATGCATATATAGAAACAATTTTTCTCTGCAATGCTATCCCTATTTCAAACTATCCTTCATTTGCAAGTCACAGCTAATCCTCTCTAGAATTAATTTGATCATTAAACCTGCCTGCTTAAAACCCTCCAGTAATAATAACAGTGTGCTTCTGTGGTGCTCATTATGTGGCCAGGCTTTTTATATATTAATTAATTTAATTCCCATAACAATTCTATGGAGATGAAATCATCCTCTTTTTGCAGATGAGGAAATTGAGACACGGAGAAGTTAAGTAACTTGCCTAAAATTATTCAGCTAACAGTGGTAGAGCCAGGATTCTAACCTCTACAGTCTGTGCTCTTGACCAAAATCCCATAATGCCTCCAGTGGATCTGTAGAGCCTATTGCGTAAAATCCAAAATCCTTAAACTGCAAATGAGCCTCCTCACAATGTCACCCCCAGGATCTTTTTCCACACCACTCCCTTCTATAAATCCTAGGCTCCAAACATTATAACACTCTTCTGAATGCGTTACTTCCTTTCATAGCTGCAAGCCTTTGAAACATAGACGGTCCTTTGTTTTCTTTCCTCCTGGCAAAAATCTATTCATTTCTCAAAACCCAGCTAAAAATGCCTTCTCTGCAAAGCCTTTTGAATTTATGCTCCCTTGTCTGCATTTCTTCAATTTTGTGGCTTTTATCACACTATGTTTTAATTTTTAGTGTTTATGTTTTTTTTCTCTACTAACTTTGGAATCATCTAGTTCTGGACTCATGTCTTATTTGTTTATGTAGCCTCAGTGCCAAAACTAGTGCTGCCATACTTAAGGCACTCAAAAAATGTTAAACAAATGAATAAATACTGATTTTAACTTTCGAGATATAAAATGGAACTTTGACATCCTATCACTTTGTCACTATTTATTTATTAATGTTATAAGACCACTAAAGTATTTGTTTTGTTTAGCTATTGTAGTTTTAAGGTTTTACTGGTCTCTCCCTTGTCTTACTTTGTCCATAGAGCACTGTTTTGATACTTACATAACAAAAAGTTAATTATGTGTCTGCCTTTCCCACTTGTATTATTATGTTAGCATCTGGAATGTAGGGTTCATATCTTACTATATCCTCAATGGAGGGGCCCAGAACTTGGAATATAATAAAGGTTGAATAAACCCTTGTTAAATTGTATTTAATATCAATTAGTTGGTTTGGATAGGTTATCTGGTTATCTGAGTATCCTCTTATCTCTAAATCTCTTTCCTCTGATAGGTCTGGCAGTTTTGTTTTGTTTTTCTTATGCCATTCATCTTCATCCCTGTAACAATCCCAATATGGGGAATTAGGTTCTCAGGCTAGAGATACTGCAAAGTAACTGTAGAAGGAGACATTTAGTTTTTCAGTTTCCTACAGTATAAACTCTAACTAGTTTGGGTAATTTAAGTTTAGCTCATGTTATTGTCCCTTAGATTTAAAAATAACAGTGGATACTCTTTCAATGGGAAAGACAGCAATGTTAATGACATGGTATCATAAGAAATTATTTCAAAAGATTACTATAAAATATTACACTCTGATACCTGTAATTGGAATCTTCCAGTATGAAAATTTCGAGAAATAAAAACACACTGAGAATGAGATTTAATCTCCGCCTTTGATGGTCTTTGCATGCATCTCTCATCAGTTGGTTTAAATTTGGAATTTTGAAATATTTCTCTGAAAAACATTTTATAGAGAATATTATTAAACATGAACTATATTATAAACAAATACAATTACTTTGTTTTCAATAGTTATACATAAGGGTTTAAAAATCAGAATAAATATGTTACTATATATTTATTTGTAAAAGCACAAGTCAACATATATTCCCTTTTCATGTTACTGATTTCATTATACCTATTTTATTCATAGAATGTAAATTAAGCTACTTCTTATGCAGGGTTAATATTTCCAGTTTGAAGATTAACCATGAGTTTCTTTTCTTGTTGTTGTTGTTGTTTTAAATTGGGGAATTGGGGAAGGGGAACAGCCAAGTTATTGTCCTTCAATCTTAGTTGTGAAGGGCGCAGCTAGCTCAGCTCCAAGTCCAGTCACCATCAGCTGCCCTTTGGCAGCTCGCAGCCATTTAGCTCAAGGTGCCGTGTTCAATCTTAGTTGCAGGTGGGCGTAGCCCACCATCCCATGCGGGAGTCAAACCAGCAACCTTGTTGTTAGGAGCATGCACTGTCACCAGCTGAGCCATCCTGCCACCTGTTGGCAGCTCAGTGGCAGCTTCGCTCAGGGACAGCTCACTGGCCCATGTGGGAATCGAACCAGCGACCCTGTTGCTCAGGGCTTGGGCTCTTAACCAACTGAGCCATTCAGCCGGCCCTAACCATGAGTTTTTGATACCCTTCTTTCTGGTTGTGAGATAATTAATCAACTTTAATATTAGTCTTTTCATAAATTTGCCTTTAATGGCAAAGGAAATTAAATGAAATGGTCACTTTTATATTTAATAATATCTCCGGCAAAAGTAAGTGGAAGGAAACTGAATTGAAACTAATGACTTGCAAAGGAAGAGTTCCTGTGACCTTTATCCATGCAACCACAAGCAATTTTGAGAGAGGGTTTAAAATAATAAAGCAGCAAGTAAAACCCCAGATGACCAAAGACAGTTAAGTATAAGCAAATGTAGTTTCTAAGCCATTCTAAACTTAATGATTTAAATACTAATGCTAATTGCCATTTCTTCTTTCAGAGGTACTAGAAATTTTCCAAATTAATTCAAGGGTCCGTATTATGTTACTTAATGAGTTATTAACAATTAGGATTCATTTATTCACTAAATTCAATTCACTTAATGAATATTTGTTGAGTACTTACTATGTGTCAGGCATTGCACTGGATGTGATATATATATAGTGGGAAAGGAAAAAAAAAGCACAGCCGCTACCCTCATAGCACTGTCATTGCTCTCATGGAGCTTAAACACTAAGGCAGACATTAATAAAATAATCACGGGCCGGCCGAGTGGCGTGATGGTTAAGAACTGGCTTGGGATGCCAGAGGGCCCTGGTTCGGATCCCACATATGAGGGTCAGTGACACTGCCCTCCACAGCTAAGATGCTGAACAACAGCTCAACCTGGAGCTGGGCCACCGTGAGAGTCCCCGGTGACTGCGTAGGCTGCAGCCCCTGTGGCAGTGGGTTGCCATGGGCTACCGTGTGTGGCCAGCAGCCAGCGTGAGCGGCCATCCAGAAGCCGGCGACTGATCTGCCTCGCCCGGGAAGAGCGCAATGATGGTGCCAACTTGGGCCAATGAAGCGACGTCCTCCACAACTAGACTGAAGAACAAAAGGACAGCAACTTGTCTGTTCCCCTTCCCCCAATTCCCCACCGCTGTTCCCATCCCCCAAAATTCCCCAATAAAAAAAAATCTTAAAAAAAAACAAAAAACAGGACCGGCAGAGTGGCGCGATGGTTAAGAACTGGCTTGGGACACCAGACGGCCCCGGTTCGGATCCCCCCCCCAAAAAATAAATAAAATAATCACAAGAAAATGAAAAATTACAAGTGTGTAAAGCATTATCAAGGAAAACTACCTGGTACTGTGTGAGTACTATATAACAAAGGAAATTAATCTAGTTAGAGAGCTCAGGGAAGGCTTTTCTGAGTAAGGGATGATTGAATTGGGCATCTGAAGAAATAGTGATAGTTTTAGGTAGAGTGTGGTGGAGGCGGAGAGATGTGGGAGTAAGAATATTCTAGTCAGAGAGACTATCAAGTCCAAAGACCTAGTGGCCAGATTAGAACCCTGTAGCAGAAGCACAGAAAGCAAAAGGGAAAGTGGGAGATGAAATTGGGGAGTATATATGGGCAGACCATGTGGGAACTTAGAAGTCATGTCGTTTTGTCTTTATCCGAAAGAAATGGGAAGTCCTTCATAATATAGTGGGGATGGGGTGCAAGGGTGGGTGACTTAATTAGATTTGCATTTGGAAAATGTCTGGCTGAAGTGTGGAGGAGAGAGTAAAAGAGGGTAATACTGAAGGTAGGAGGTCAGTTATAACTCCTACTGCAGCAGTCTATGTGTGGGACGATAATAACTTAGATAAGGTCATGGCAGTGGTAATGGAGAGAAATGGATAGATTTGAGCAATTTATGAGGTAAAATAAATAAAACTTGATGATGGTTCAAATTTAGTGGGGATGGGAAAGAGAAAAAGAGATATCAAGTATGTCTTCCATCTTTAGATGAAAAAAACATCCCTCCTTGGCCCCACATTTTCCTCTGGCTACTGCCCTATTATCAACTCCCTTTCACACATACACAGAAAGCTTCTTGAAAGAGATGTCTATATTTGTCTCAATTTTCTCACCTCTTGTGTTTCATTCAAAGGTAAGCTTCTGAACCCATCCCTCCACAAAAACTCTTTAATGCCATCAATAACTTCCATGTTACCAGATCCAAAAATTATTTCTCTGTCCTCACCTTTCTCAACTTAAGCATCTTGAGCATAGCTGTTCATTGTCTCCTTCTTGAAATGTTTTCATAATGTCATAATTTTTACTTCCTTGACACACTTTCCAGATGTTGTTGATTCTACCTACTCTTTCACTAGATTTCTAAATGTTGGTAGGCTGAAGGGCACAGTCCTCGGTTCTGCTCTTTGAATCCTAGGTTCTCCTATTTCAACAATCACTCCCTGGTCAGTCTCATGCAGTTCTATGACTTTACATAATCTAAATCGTCAGCCCTGAGTTCTTTTCTGAAGTTCATACATGTATGTCTATTTGAAATTTCCATTTGGATATTTGTCTAATAGGCTTTCAAAATTACATCCAAAATACAACTTCTAGTTTATCACCACTCTCTCAGATTGTTCCCTCCTCTAATCATCGCATCTCAGTAAATGGCATGATCAACTAGTGGGTTGCTCATGGTAAAAACGTAGGTGTTAGCATTAATTCTGTCATTTCACTTATCTTTCCTTACCTCATCCAATTTGTCAACAAGCCCTGATAACATGACCTACAAAATGTATCCCAAATCCAATCCCTTCTTTTTATCACCTTCCATATAAATCCAAGACACTAGTACCTCTCACCAGGATTATGCAAAGCCTCCTAACTTGTCTCTCTACTTTCACCATTGCTCCATTAAAATTCAGGCTTCATCAAAAAAGAATAATCTTTTAAAAATATGTAAATCAGAACTCTCATACATTGCTGGTTGGAGTGTACTCCCACTTTGGAAAACTGGCAGTTCTTTTTATTATTCTGGAATATAAAGTTCTTTTTAATTAAGTATAGTTGACATGCAATATTACATTAGTTTCAGCTGTACACAACACAGTGATTTGACATTTATATACCTTATGAAGTGATCACCAAGAAATCTAGAACTATCTGTCACCACATTAAGTTATTGCGATGTTGACTTTATTTCCTGTGCTGTACATTACATCCCATTGACTTATTTATAACTATAAATTTGTATCTCTTAATCCCCTTTACCTTTTTTGCTCAACCCTCCAGCAGCTATCAGTTTGTTCTCTGTATCTATGAGCCTGTTTGTTTTGTTTTGTTTGTTCATTTGTTTAGTTTTTTAGATTCCACATATAAGTGAAATGATAAAGTATTTGTTTTTCTCTGACTTATTTCACTTAGCATAATACCCTCTAGGTCCATCCATGTTGTAGCAAATGGCAAGATTTCATTCTTTTTTGGCTGAGTAATATTCCAGTGTGTGTGTGTGTGTGTGTGTGTGTGTGTGTGATTTTCTTTATCCAAAGTTAATCATATGACCCAGCAAATTCACTTTTAGCTATTTACCCAAGAGAAGTGAAAGAAAGCACATGTACAAAAATATTTATACAAGAACCTTCACAGCAGCCTTATTCCTAACAGCTAAAAAGTGGAAATGACCCAAATGTCCATTAACAGAAGAATGAACACACAAACTTAGGTATATTCATACAATGGAATATTACTCATTATTAAAAAGAATGAACTACAGATAAATGCAACAACATAAATGAACCTCAAAAATATTAAGTGAAAAAAACACATAAAAAGTCCATATGATTACATTTATATGAAGTTCAAGACTAGGAAAATTAATCAATGGTGATAACAATCAGGATAATTGCCTCTGGGTGGGAGGTGGGGAGTGATGCCTGAAAGCAGCATGAGGGAACTTCACAGCGTGATGGAAAAGCTCTGTATCTTGACTGGGATTGTGGTTACATGAGAATGTATTTGTTGAAATTCATCATCATACATTTAAAATCTACACACTTTTTTTGTATGTAAATTATACCTCAAATTTTAAGAAGTGTTATAAAAATGTAATTCATCTATAGGTGGCATTATTGAGTCTTTAAAATGAGGATAATATTACTGCTACCTTATGGGGCTATTATGAAGTCTATATGAGATAATATATAAAGCACTTAGAATAGTGCCTAGTATGTAGTAAGCACTCAATGTTAGCTATTATGATGATGACAGTGCGTCATTCCCCTGCTTAAATTCTTCTGATAGCCCAAATAATAAGATCCAAACTCCATATTCTAGCCTTCAAACTCCTATGTGATCTGGCCCCTACCTACCTCATGACTATTCAATCTCATCACTATTTTCTTCTCAGTACAGTCTATTCACACTGGCCTTTCTATTTACTGAACAATACTAACATCATTTCCACTTGGGGGTCTTTGAACTTGCTATCTCTTCAGCTTTGAAAGCTCTTCCACAAGGTCTTCACATGTCCATCTCCTTTTCACTCAGGTGTCCGAATAAATACTGCCCACTTGAAGAGGCATTCTCTGACCACTTTATCTATTTGTTCATTATCTGTCTCCTCCCAGTGTCACTGCAAGTGGACGAGACAGAAACCTTGTCTGACTTGTTCACAGAACAATGGCAGGCACCCAATAAATATTCGTTGAAAGAATGAAGAAGTGAATAATTTCTAGTTTTTGACTTGTGCAAAAGGATAGATAGTATGTATTCATTTGCTGAGAAATGGAACACTGGAAGAGTATGTAGAAAGATCATGTTGCAGTTTATATATTTTCAACACTAGATAAATCAAATACCAAATTGATTAAATAATTAAAAACACCAAATTTTGGGGTTGAAAGGAACTGAGATGCCAGGTATCTTTTCTTTTGTGTCTGGCATAAGACTGCATTTACATCATATCAGAGCATTCTGTCAGCTCTTTTCTTAAGCATCTTCTCAAGAAAATGACTCTTTTTGTCAGTAATGTTTTTAACCTCTAAATTAGTAATGAAAAATGTTTTAAATTTCTAGCCTTGTGTTATCATTCAAATGTATGTCTTCAAGAGAATACAACAGATCTATTATTTCTTAAGATGTTAATACATGAAGATTGCTATTATACTGCTTGGACAATAATACTACTAGGACTTCTCTTTTCGGGCTACTTTAAACATGTAAAGCTTTCACTCCCAATCAAAGGGTCTATAACCACACCTCAAATTACAGAATCAATGCTATTTTAGTTATTTTAAGTTTAATACCATTTGAAAAAGTCTTTCATCAGATATTTTTTTTTTAAAAAGTAAAATATTCTAAGGTACCTTACCTTCGTTTGCAAATCAGGAACCACAAAGCTGATGCCAAAGCAAAGAAACCAATTCCCAAAGTAACAGCACCAGCAGCCAGGATATAGGTTAAGTGATTAAAAAAACCTGTACAAATAAATTTTAAAAATCATGCATGTATCTTAATTCTTTAGGTAAAATGAAATTATATAATATTTCAAATGATACTACCTAGAGTAGTGTTAAGACATTAACTAGGACGTTGGGAGACCTGAATTCTGCTCCTGTGCAATTCTAAGAAATTTCAAGACTCTGAATTTGAGAAATACACAGGGCCTCATGCCGATTAGGGCCCAGGGTGCATTTCTCTGACACTGCCAGGATTTAAGACCTAGATTTTGTTTGTTTTTATACAGCTGTCACCTCCTTTTTCTTATCTAGTTTTCTCCTTTCCCAGTCTAGCCATGAATTTTTGTTATTTTTCTGTTATTTTTCCAGTATCATTCTTTGCAGTCCTTCAACATAAGACACTTGCCATTTTAAGGTTTTGATTATCAGTCACTATAAGGAGGTAGATGAGGGTAATAAGGAACCAGTTGAGAGTCACTGGCATAGTGGTATAAGGAAATGTCAGATAGTAGTAAATGATAAAAGCAAGACAGATAAAACCTATAGTTCAAAACATTTAAAAGACATAGTTGTACTCAACTATAAGGATCTCTGTAGACAAAAGAAGAAAAACAACACAGAGAAATAAGTAGGGGCTACTGAGATCTGGAAGTAGGAATTAGCTAGAAGAAGCAGAGAAGATCATTGACACAAGGCCTGGACCAATCCATCCTCTGGCACAGTGAAGGACTCTGTATCACCAAGATCTCTGAGAAAAGAAAGCACTGAGCCACAAAATAGACCAATTCAAATGAACTAAGGAGGAATCTTGGAAATAAAAAATTCAAAAATTTTATTATGGAGTAAACTCTTTCTTGCACATAATTAATGAAATAAAAGATAATACTGAGAGATTCACTCAATTACATAAGGAAATAACAAATACGGTAAATCATGATACTCGAAAAAGATTAAGAGCACATAACATTAAATGAACAGAGGTTCCAAAAGAGAGGATAGAGATGTAGCAGAGAAACAATATTCAGGGATACAACCTAAGATTTTTACTTTAAAAATTTTTTTAATTTGCACATAGTAAAATTTATTTTGTGCATGTGTTTGCAGTTCTATAAGTTTGACAAATACAAAGAGTATTTAATCACCACCACAATCAACTTACAGAACACTTCCATCACCCCCCAAAATTTCCTTGCACTGCCTTTAAGCAGCCAAACACTAACTGCGGGCAACCACTGATTTTTTTTCCGTCCCTATTCTCCAACCTTATACAGTACTTTAGTCTTTCCAGAATTTCATATAAATGGTATCATACAATATGTGGCCTTCTGAGTCTGGCTTTTTTCACTTAGCATGATGCAGTTGAGATTCATCCATGTAGTTCATATCATTTTATTGCTGAGTAACAGTCCATTTTATAGGTGTATCAGTTTGTTTATTCCCCAGTTGAGAGACATTTGGTTGTTCTCAGTTGGGGTTGTTAGGAATAAAGCTACTGTACACTTGCATACAGATGTTTGTTTAAACATGAGTTCTTTTTAGTAGGGTCAGGTAGCAAGTATATATTTAAATTGATAAGAAACTGCCAAACTGCTCTCCACGGTGGCTATAGGTCTTGCTTTCCCACCAGCAATGTATGATAGCTCCAGCTGTATGGTATCATCACCACCACTTGGTATTATCAATTTTATTTCAGCCATCCTAATAGATGTGCAGTGGTATTTCATTGTGGTTTAAATTTTCATTCCCTTAGTGAATAATGATGTTGAGCATCTTGCCATGTGCTTACTTGCCATCTGTATATCTTCTTCAGTGAAGTATTCATCCAAATCTTTGCTAATTTTTTAGGATTCTTTATACATTCTGGATATAAGACATTGGTCAGATACATGATTTGGAAATATTTTCTCCCAGTCCATGCCTTGTCTTTTCAATTCACAGGGTAAAACTTTTTAATTTGGGTGATGTCCAATTTACCAATTTCTTCTTTTATGGATTGTGCTATGGGGTCCTTTATGAGAACTCCTTGCCTAACCCAGATCACGAAGATTTTGTCCTATAAAAGATTTATAGTTTTATGTTTACTTTTAATTTGTGATTCATTTTGTATTAAGTTTTGCATAAGATGTGAGGCATGGGTCAAGTTCTTTTTTTTTCATATGTATATGCAATGGTTCCAACACCATTTGTTGGAAAGACTATCTTTTCCAGAGAGAGAGAGAGATGCAATTGATTTCACTTATATGTGGAATCTAAAGTACAAAATAAACAAATAAAACAGGAACATACTCATAGATACAGAAAACATTTTGATGATTGCCAGATGGGAGGGGGGTTAGGGGGCGGGTGAAAATGAGGAAGGGATTAAAAAGCACAAATTGGTTGTTACAAATGAGTCATGGGGGTGTAGGGTATAGCATATGGAATATAGTCAGTAATACTGTAATAACTATGGAAGGTGTCAGATGCATACTAGACTAGTCAGGGGTATCACTTCTTAAATTATATAAATGCCTTACCACTATGCTGTACACCTGAAATTAATATAAAACAATATTGAATATCAAGTGTAATTGAAAAATTTAAAAGGGGTAAAAAAGTGAAGGAGAATAAAAAGTTCAAATTTCCAGGTATAAAACAAATAAGTCATGGGGATGGAATGTGTAGCATGGGGAATATAGTAAAAAATATTGTGATAGGGCCGGCTGAGCAGCTCAGTTGGTTAAGAGCTCGCTCAAGAGTTTGAGCTCTGAGCAACAGCGTTTGATGCCCGGCCCGAGGTGAGCTGCCGCTGAGCTGCCAACAGGTAGCAGGATGGCTCAGCTAAAAAAAAAAATAATAATAAATAAATATATATATATATATATATATATATATATATATATATATAGTGATAGCATGGTACAGTGTCAGATGGTTACTGGACTTATCATGGTGATCACTTTTTTAGATATATAAATGTGGAATAACTATGATGTACATCTGAAACTAATATAATATTGTGTGTTTGTTATATTCCGGTAAAAATCTTAAAAAAAATTAAGTTAAAAAATCAATTAGCTATGTTTGTGTCAGTCTATTTCTGAACATTTCTATTTACAGATGAGGAAACAGATGAGGCAAAATGAGGTTAAGTAATTTGCTTAAAGGCATACAACTGTTTAGTGACAGAACAGTAGGAAGTTTAAAGTTGCTAAGGTCCTTCCTTATCTAGATTGGGTGAAGAATTGAGACGCTGAATATCTTTAGATTTGTTAGGAAAAAAACCTGTTAAGTATGAAGGCTAAATATAAATATCATAAAAGAGAATATCTAAGTGGCCAATAAACACATGAAAATTTTACTGATAATTAGGAAAGCATAAATTAAACCACAATGAGATAATACAACTCTATATGATGTCTAAAATGAAAAAGACAGAAGGTATCAAGTGTTGCCAAAGAGGCAGAGTAAACTGAATTCTCTTGTTCACTAGTGGGAAGGTGATTTTGTACAATACTTTGGAAAACTGGCGTTATTAGTAAGGCTGAACATATGCATATCCTATGACTCAGCAATTCTTAGACATATACCTAACTGAAGTGCATTTATACGAGTATGTTCACAAAACTACGGACTAGAATGTTTATGCATCCCTATTTGAGAGAGCCACATATTGGAAACTGCCCAATTGCAATTGCCCATCAATAGTTGAATGAATAAAAAAAGTTACATTTATGAAAGCAAAATACTCTATAACAATGGAGAAAAATAACTACAGCTATGCACAACATGAAAAAATTTCATAAACAATGTTCGGCAAAAGAAGGCAGACATAAAGTTCAAACACAGACATCGGGGAGTTCAAAGAAGTTGATAATGTTTTGTTTCTTAAACCGGGTGCTGGTTACATAGGTGTGTTCAGTGCAAATTCATCAAGCTTAGCACTGTGACTTATGAATAAACTAGACCTACATGTCCCAGCATGAATAGAACTGCAGAACAATTTTCACTGAAAACCGCAATTTCCATAAATTTATATTCAGTTATTCCAATTATGTACTGATTTTATTTATGCACATTAAAAGGGAACACAAAATTATACCATTTTAAAAACATTAATATAACAGAAGTATTAAAATATACCAATTCATATTAGTTGTGTCTGGGAAGAAAATGAGGGGAATGGGACTATGGATAGAACACAGACTTAGATTTTATCTGTAATATTTTATTTTTTTTAATAAATTAAAGATCTGAAGCTTATATGACCAAAAATATTTATTTAGTAGGTGATACATGGTTTTTTTTGTCCTTTTTTATTTTCACTTTTCTGATTTTCTCAAATATTTAAAAAATACAAAAACATATGATCTCAATTTTATAAAAAGAGAAAAAGGGAGAAATGTATTTGTATAAGGAAAATAATCAACATTAGTTATACCTGAAGTAAGGGTTTAGAGTTATAGTTTTCCACTCCAGACTTTTGTGTATATCCAAATTTTCTACCATGAGTATCTTAGAAAAATTAGGAAGAAAAATTTTGAAGCTTCATATGCAATTCCTGACTCCTTACTTAGATGCTACAGATCTCCTCGTACCACCTTCTCTATTGTTATCACTGTGTTTATAGCCTAGCTAATTTTCTTCTCCTGACAATCTCTGTCCACCTCTTTATCTGTTTTTGTTTTTTTTATTCTCCATTAAAGAAGAAAATAGGTGTGATTAGAGAACCATTTCAGTTCCTGGTTTAAGTGGGTCACTGACATCTCAGGGGAATTCCAGTGAGGCATAAGGAATCTGAAAGTTTTTCCAAACCACTTTACCAAGAGAAAGGCAAATTACATATTTGTTAAATACCTTCAACAAATTACACTTTCTCTCTAAATCAATCTGTAAAATGAAAAGGCTTAACTCTGAGATCATTACGATCTCTCATTTTGAAGTTTTAGTCAATAAATATTATAAAGAAACACTATATACAAAGGTAGCATTTTTACTTTCTTGACTCAGCCCTTAAGTATCCTATCCAAAGTAA